ACCACAGTGTGCACTACTGTACTGGACTTAATAGACAGCTGTTCAGGGACCATGCAACCTATAAAACCATGGGGTGCACGCCTACACTCAGGAGGTAGATGCAGGCGGATCTCTGAGTTTGAGGCCAGCCTGGTCTACAGAGAGAGTTCCAGGACAGCATGGGCTACATAATAGAGGGAGATTCCCCTCAAGAAACCAAAAAACAAGGCCGGGTGGTGCTGGCGCATGCCTGTAATCCCAGCACTCAAGAGGCAGAGGCAGGCAGATCTCAGTGAGTTCGAGGCCAGCCTGGTCTACAAGAGCTAGTGCTAGGAAAAAGAAACCAGTAAGAGAACAGCAAAAGACAGAAACAGAAACAAAGAGATGATATTTTAGCTACTAAATGAAAGGTTTCCTTTCATTGTAAAAACAAAATGCTCATGGAAGATGTCGCTATGGAGACACAAAGGGAGAAAGAAAGCACACGTCCTCTGTGACATCCCAAAGTTCTTAGAGACTTCGCTGGATGTAGTTCAGGTCCAAGGCATCCCCAAGAAGAGGAAGATCAGGGTTTAGGGACATCTGGAACTTCCTAGCAAATTGGAGGCCAGCCTGGGATACCTGAGACTCTATCTCAAAAAAAAAAAGGTGGGGGGGTGACACATTTAGTTTAGGGAACTTGCTTCGGTTTTTGTTGTTTCAAAAGCTACAGAAACCTCATACTCATATTATAGGCTGTAGAGATGGCTCAGTGGTTAAGAGCACTAGCTGCTCTTTCAGAAGACCTGGGTTCGATTCCCAGCACCCACATAGTGGCTCACAACCACCTATAATGGGATCTGATGCCCTCTTCTGGTGTACTAAGAAAGTATCATTATACATAGCATTCAGAAATAAAGAAATCTGGGGCTGGAGAGATGGCTCAGTGGTTAAGAGCATTGCCTGTTCTTCCAAAGGTCCTGAGTTCAATTCCTGGCAACCACATGGTGGCTCAGAACCATCTGTAATGAGGTCTGGTGCCCTCTTCTGGCCTGCAAGACATACAGACAGACTATTGTATACTAAATAAATAATAAATAAATAAATATTAAAATTTTAAAAAAAAGAAATAAAGAAAGCTTTTTTGTTGGCTTGGTTTTCAGTTTTTCAAGACAGGGTTTCTACATGTAGCCCTGGCTTTCCTGGAACTAACTTTGTAGACCAGGCTGGCCTTGAACTCATAGAGATCTGCCTACCTCTACCTCCCAAGTGCTGGGATTAGAGGTGTATGCCACCACTGCCCGGCCCAATAAATCTTTAAAAAAAAAAAAAAGGAAGGAAGGGGAGAGAGAATGAAGGAAGGAAAGAAAGAAAGAAAGAAAGAAAGAAAGAAAGAAAGAAAGAAAGAAAGAAGAGAGAGAAAGAAAGAAGAGAGAGGCCAGGCCAGGTGTGGCGCAGGCCTTTAATCCCAGCACTGGGAAGGCAAGAGGCAGGTGAATCTCTGTGAGTTCAAGACCAGCCTGGTCTACATAGCAAGTTCCAGGACAGCCAGGGCTCTGTAGATAGACTCTGTCTCAATAAAAATAAAAAGAAAGAAAAAGGAGGGAAGCTGAAGTCCCAGCTGCTACCAGGAGGAGGAAGTCCTGGTCTTAAATTAGGCTTAGAGGTCAGAGAACATTGAGAAACCCAGCATATCAGGGAAAATTATATTTAGCCTTAGCCTGAATCCAAAAAAGAAATAAGAAAATAAGAAAACCATGCTTAGTTCCAGGCGGCATATCAGAGTTAAGAGGACACGGGAGTTCAGGCTCTTGCAGCCTAGGCCAAAGGATTGCACCAGGGACAGTTGGTTAGAAATAGAAACAGAGATCATTTATTTAAAGGGGAGTGGGGAACTCCTGAGACTAGAAGCAGCCTAGTGAGTTGAGGGACAAGCCCTTAAGGCCAAGCACTTGTCTTAAAACTGGGTGTAACTCCCAAACAGGGCAGGCTGTGGGGGAAGAATGTGAACTGGAGGCCAGCCTAGGCTGCGTAGAAAGACTCTGTCTCAGAGGAACTAAAACAAAAGCCTCCTAAGGGGCGCTCGGTTGCTTTCATCTTGTGAGATCTGAAAGATCCCAAGTTTGTAAGTCCCCGCGTGAGTCCCACCCACCGGAAGCCAGTGGTGAAGGCTCTTCCCCTCCTTCTCAGTAAGGCGTTTCAAGAAACTGAGAGACGGTTCTCAGAAATGGCTGTGATTTGATCCTGAGTGCTCCGTGTGAACATTTCCGAGATTTCTGGGTTTTCCGTGAATGACTTTAACCTTCTGCGAGAGCGCCTGGTGTTTCTTAGCCATGGAGTCGCCGCCGTTCCAGTCCCAGAATTTAATGCATTTTATTTTATTTTGTTTGTGTGTGTGGTCTATCACATATGTGCATGTCCCCAAAGAGGCCGGGAGAGCTGGGAACAGACTTAGAGAAATTGATAGAAATTTTCCAAATCAAAACTTCTGTCTTGCCGGGTGGTTGGTGGTGCATGCCTTTAACCCCAGCACTTGGGAGGCAGGCAGATCGAGGCCAGCCTGGTCTACAAGAGCTAGTTCCAGGACAACTAGAACTGTTGCACAGAGAAACCCTGTCTCGAAAAACCAAAACAAAACAAAAAAACCAATGAACAAAAAAACAACAAAACTGTCTTCTGCTTGTATAAAGTTCAACTCAGATGTTCAGGTTGGCCTCTTAGGTTGCTGGCCTTTCTGTGCCGCAATGTGATGGAGCCCTGCAATCCAGAGCAGAATCGGAGGGTTTTTAAAGTCCATAAAGTATATGCAAGATAGGCAGCTAGCAAGGAGCAAATCTCACCAGGACAAGTCCAGTTGAAAGGGAAGCCCCTGGCAACCCTTAAAAAGTTTAAGGAAGTGATTTCCGCCCCTTCTCTCTGGTTCTGACTCTTCAAGGTCAACCCTAGGCCACGCCTTTCCCGTGGGACTGGATTTCCAGTAGGCTCAGCTGTTGGCCTCACCTCGACAAACCAAGTAAGAAACCAGGGACACTGGCTGGAGTGTATGATCCAGGCCTCGACCGCGGCAAAATGGGAGAGCACATGGCCTGCAGAAAAGACCTATCAAAGTCACCAACCCTATGGGACCTGAGCCCGTGGCAAGGAAGCAGCACCTGCCTTGGGGTGGAGAAGACCTGACTTTGGGGTCTTATTAGATCTCCTCACCAGCCTGGGTCTCCTGGGCCACTCTTAACCTGAAATGAGTCTCAACTGCCCCATCTTGAAGTGTGTGAAGTGTTGATCTGGAAGCAGCCCCAGGCTGAGGCTGATATAGGGCAGCCATTATTAGCAGCTAACTTTGTAGATATTTTACGAGGCTGGGAATGGAAGCCAGGGCATGTGCTGAGAAGGCTTTCCATCACCTCCATCCCTCCTGAGTGGACTCTGATTGATAGTTCAGCTCTGCCGAAAGCTGTAGACTTCTGGATACCAACAAGGTTGATGATAGACCTTTTCAGTGCCCATGCGTGTTTCCTAGCTATTAACTACTGTGACCAAAATTCCTTCCTTGGCAGAGAGTAAAGCAATGTCTGCCCCTCCTCTCAAGGTCCCCACCACTAAACCAAGGCAGGCAGGAGTCTGGGGACCAGTTAATTTATTGGGTTTCCCTACAGAGTCTTGGGGAGGGGTGCTTACAAGGGTGTGAGCCTGCATTCCCCAACCAGCCACACCTGGAAAGGCTTAGTGAACACCAGGCTCGTTGTGAAAGCTCAGGTCACTCCGCAGCCAGTCTTTGCCCCAGGAGAGCCATCTGGAGCATTCACGCAGCTTTCTGAGACACACATTCGCCCTCAAGGGGAATATTCAAACTGATCTTGATAGAGTATTTCCTAGGCTGGGGGTGTGAGCATTTCATGGCCTTACTGACCCCCCCATTAAGGTGTCTGTGCAGTTTTACGCCACCACTACCAATGTATGCAGCACCAAGGGTCAAACCCGGGGTCCTGGGCATGCTGGGACGACATTCTGCCAACCGAGCCACATTCCCGATTTTCCTCAGTTGTGTATTTTCACCCTGCCCCACCCCCACCCCACCTAAGCCCTCACACAGCACACTGCCCCCCCAAACGTGACCACTGCAGTGGGGCCTGCAATTCCCATACATCTACAGAAAATGTCACTTCCTTGTGCCTTCAAGAAAAAAAAATGCTTCTAAGCAGAGACTCCCAGCAACTGCTCCTTGTGGAGAGTCGCCATCTGCTCCCTGCATCATCTGGAGAGCGCAGGGCTGGGGTTGGGGGGCCTGGTCTCTCCACTCCCATCCATGTAACCTGGCCACAGAGGGGACGCGTGGCTCCTGTGCTGCTTTCCCGGCCTCAGGGGAAGAAGGGCTGTGGAGGGGGACAGAGCAGTGGCTCCCAATTTGGTATTGCCTGAGTGGAGGCCTCTCCCTGGAGTATCCTCTCCCTCTACCTACAAAGCAGCCGCATGATGGCTTTTCTTCCATTTAGAACATTGGGATGACTGGGGCCCAGGTTTTCCTGGTCCAAAACCCTTCTCAGTGTGGAACAGACTCAGTCATCTGATACCCACGAGTTCAGGGTGGCTCTCAGGATGCCACTGTCACCTCCACGATCCAGTGGACGCCTAAGTAGTGGGTCTTCCTTTTTCAACAGGCCCACGACCCGGTAACAACGAGTGTTATGAACGTGACAGATACATGAGCCTCCTTCCAGAAATTTCAGGGTGTGGTATGGGAGAAACTTATTAACTAAAGCCTTTTGAGAAATTGCTAGTTTCTGGTCCTGGTTTTTTGTTTGCTTGTGTGTGTGTGTGTGTGTGTGTGTGTGTGTGTGTGTAAGTGAAACAGGGTCTCACTAGCCTCAAATTTGGAGAAATCGTCACACCTCTTCCTTTCTAGTGTCAGGATTTTAGGAGTGAGCCACCATGCCCCTCGGATACTCCTACTTTATTAATCATTTAACCTTCCGCACTCTGTACTCCCATTAATCACACGAGGTTTTCCTTTCAATGAAAAGGTTCCCAAAGCAAGATACATCAAGTGCAGTTTGAAAAAGTATTTATTTCAGTTACAATTTTCACTTTTAAAAAACAGTGGTTCTTCCCCCACCCCCAAAAAGAAAACATTGAAAAAACATATTACACTACTTTGCAGAAAGAGCTTAGGTATCAACTTGCTGGTAACACGGGTAAAAAACCTTAAAAACATTGTCTTGAAACAAAACATGTAGCATTGAGGTATTTTGCTTAACGGATATGATCTCTAGCCAAGAAAATCTCTGTCATTCCAGCTCGCTCCACAGTCCCAGTCCTTCCCCTGCAAACTAGATCTCCATCTGAGCATACATTCACAAAATTGACAATTTTCCTTAATAAGCATCGAGGTTGCCATAGAAACTCCTGGAACTGGTATCCAACCTCGCGAGGACTAGAGGCTGGAAAGACCTTTGGCAGACCCTCCCCAGCACCAGCACTAGGTCCTGAGCCAGCTGGCCTGCCACTTCCAGCCACAGCCTCACCATAGGCTGCAGCATGGGAAAGGTGACCCTGTAATCCTGTAACCCTGAAGATAGGTTTCTCAGCACCTCCACCTGCAGCTGAGTGTGGGAATCCTCTCCAACTAGGTAAGGCATAACGAGCTGCTAGGGAGAAAAAGGAGGCAAGCCAGGCATTCTTAAACCTGCAGAGCACGGCCACAGCTGGCCTACCCTGCTGGGCTCTGTGCCCCACTGGCTCCAGCCCAACTCCAGCCGTGAACTTCACACCAGTTTCGTTCTCCCAAGACATCAGGGACACGGCAAAGACTCAGCGTGAGCATACAGCCAGGTGAGAAACTGCAGAGACCACGCTCGCGGAGAGAAAGCATTCGGTCTCCAGACGTCTCGGTGCACAGCCCCTGCTACTCCCTTGAAATATTTTAAAGCTGTTTCACTAATGCCTTAAGAATCAAATCTCAGTTTAGCACTTGAGCCGGTTCTACTCTTCCCACCGTGCAGCGGAGGTCGTGTTTAAACCCTGTCTAAAGCTGCCACATCTGCCTGCCGGATCCCTGACTGTGGGTGTCAAGTGACTGTTGACAGGCAGCCTGTGGGCTGCAGAAACTCCAGTGACACAGATTGGAGGCCAGAAGCAGCTGAGGGCCTGGACCTGTGTCTCTGAGCGAAGCTGGGGCTCAGATGAAACAGACTTCATTGACATTAGCTTATTAAAAGTCAAAAGGAAAAAGGGGGGAGGGCTAGCCTTTTATAATAATAGTGAAAGCAATAACAACTTGGGGATTAAAGCTACTTAGCTTTCGGAGATAATGAGTTATCTGGATTTCAATCTTCCACCAGCTTGTTCTGCCTGGCTTTGGTACCAGCAGGTGAAGACTAAGCTCAGCCGCCTGCTCCCTACTGATCGCTTTTTCTAACACTCCCTCACTCCCTTCACAGCATGTTTGCAACTCTTGAGTCCCAGAAACTTAACAAAGGGGGAAAAAACATGAATACCTGCCTGGTTTTTGTCAACTTACAAACCCTTTTCTATGACAGCAACAGGCCCTGAAACATACAAAGCCCAGGGCAGTGGCACCCGGATCTGTGGAGCAGACAGCACAAGTGTGGCCTCCGGGCTCCACCTCCTGTCCCCTGGGGGTGGCATTTTCTGAAAAGGTAAGCTACTAGCAAAGCATTGGGATCTGGTAAAAAAAAAAAAAAAAAAAAAAAGAAATGACTGCAAGGCTCACTTTAATCCCAGCGCCACTCTGCGGTCTCCTGGGTGACCACTAACATCAGTGAAGCGAAAGTGACGAGGGGACCAGTGCTTCTGCGGGGACTGGATGTGAAGTGAGGAAGGCCATGGTGGCGGTGAGGGGTAACAGGAAGTGGATACCCTTCTTTCCTAAGCCTGGCACGCATTCATTCCCTGAAGCCAAGCACAGACTATTCGTACACTTTTTAAGACAGAAACAAGACACAGAACGAAACCGAAGTCTTCTCTGTTACAGGAAACATTTTTCTTGATTTTCACTTGACTTGGCTTTTGTGCTAAACAAAGTTACTGTATCACCCTGCCATCCCCCACCCCACTATCATCTCCCACCTCCTGGGTGGTTCATGCACCAGCACACAGCCTCTTCCAGGGTCAAGAGAAACAGGCAACAGTTTTCATTCCTTGATTGTTTGTTAATTTGTTTGTTTTGTCTTCCAAGACAAGGTTTCTCTGTGTAGCACTGGCTGTCCTGGTACTCACTCTGTTAGAGGCTGGCCTTGAACTCAGAAACATCCACCTGCCTCTGCCTCCCAAATGCTGGAATTAAAGGTGTGCGCCACCACACGGTTCAGACAACAGTTTTGTAAAAGCAAAATGGAAATGCTACTTAAGTTTTTCTTTTTTCATGAATGTTGTCTTTCCCAGTAGCTCAGGTCCAGTTGAAACCAGTATGAGCAAGGCCAGAGTAAAGTAGCTATACTCTCTGCCCTAGCAGAGGAACTCACTAACAGCACCCTCCCCTGGGGAAGTAGCGGGGGACAGAAAACATGTTTTCAGAGGCTGTGTCCCTGGACTACAACTGGCACAGTGGAGATCCGTCCTTCCCCTTCCTTCCTGCTTCTCTTCTCCTGAAGTCCTGAGTTCAAATAAGAAAAGAAAACTTCTGCAGTCAGCAGTGCCTAGAATTATCATTCACATCTGAAACGTCTTACAAGAGATTAATATCATTCTGCTTAAACCATCAGGCCCTGAGAGATTCGTCACAAGCGGGACGCCAGCTGCTTTTCCAGCGGCTTTCCCGGTATCGAGGAGAGTGGGCATGAGTTCCTCCCCAGCCTTAGCGGCCTAGGAAAAGAGAAGGCCAAAGGTGCTTGGATTGCAAGAGTTCAACTAAAAGGTGGGTTGGGGGAGTGAGTCAGAGCTAGGCAATTAGGGCAACCTTTGGCACCCCTACCTGAGGCTATCCTGAGGGTGTGGAGGCTATGTCCTCATGGTGGCCTGCGTCCCTCACAACCCCTGCCTTCAGAGCATGTGCAGCACACAGTCCTAACCCCTCCGCACCTTCTGCAAGGCTCTCCCCAACCGCCACTGCTGGCCGGGTGAGCTGGAGTGGCGGTGCTGATCTGACACCAGCTGCAGGTCCCATCCAGACAACTAGCTGTGGAATAAGCCGTCCCTATTGCTGGTGTCTTAAGGGCTCTGCGGGTCTCTGACACCCGGACGGCTGTGGTTTAAGGTGTTGTCAGGCCTGGAGCTGTTGTGGGACCCTGCTGAGGTGAGGAGAGGAACCAGTATGAAGGCCGGCTTCAGTTGTCCCAGGGAATATGGCGGGGGAGAACTTGTCTTGCTTTCCTGCACAGCCGGAGACTTCCACGTCTTCTTGAGCCTTTATGCAAACACACAAAAACAAACACACAGCCGTGAGCTTCCTCTCAGGTCAATGCCACTGTGAAAAACACCAGCAGCAGCTCTCTGCCCTGGTTGCTAGGTGTGCCCAGGTTCAGCTTACAAAAATGCTGACGACTCAGATCTCCTATCATCACCAGAGGTGTCCTAACAAGACCGCATCTCATCGGCCCCATTTACAAAGGGAAAGACGTGTGTGTTCCTCTACGCATTCCAAATGTCACCTGATGGCCGGTGATCAGCCCTGTGCCAGATGTGAGGCACATATCTGTAGTTCCCCTTCCATCCACACACAAAAAGGAGAATATTCTTTCCGTGGGGAGGGAAAATGGAACTCGGTCCAACTAAGACAGGCAGTGGGCAGCTCAGTCACAGCCCGCCATGGATGGAAGAAACAGGCTGTGTGGTCCCTGTACCCTCCCCCGTCCCGTGCAGTCAGGTCTCCATCCACCTCCACCCACCCCACCCCCAGGAGGGAGAGCCGCCCTGCTCCGAGAAAGGCCCCACTGGGCACGTGTTGATTCATCTGACAGGAAAGCCGACGGTGGGCAGGAAGGAGATAGGCATCGCTCAGATCACAGCTCCTCAGCGTGCTGGCTGGGCCCGAGGCCAGAAGAAAGCTGAGCTGCAGATACCGATCTGATCTGCTAAGGTGGGGGCTGGGGGGGCTCCTTCCCAAGGGGCCTTTGCTAGGTGTGCTATACCAGGGCCTCCTCTTCTCCCTTTGACCTCCTTCTCCATGGCTGAGTCCCCCTCAATTTCATTACATGCCAATTACCCAAGGAAGGGCGGTGAGGGAGGAGCGGAAGCCAACACCAAAAACAAGATCTGGGCATTTTCCTGGGCTTTCTGTACCAACAGACTATTCTTGTTCTTGATATGATCGATGATTGACAGCTGGCTCTGAATCTGCTGTTGGCGCGTGGCCTGTTAGCCAAATGGCATAAACAATCTGCAGACTGTTGCATGGAGGCAGGGAGAGAGCCCAGCCGGCTGCGGAGGGAACTCTTCCTGGGAGAGGAGGACACACCGCTGCTGCCCCACGCACTGCCAAGCACTCAGCCCCGCTGACCCAGGAATTCACGCTCCGAGGAAATACCCTAAAAACGGCTGGTGGTTTGAATAAGAACAGCCCCCACCCCACCCCAGACTCATATATTTGAATGCTCAAGTCACCAGAGAGTAGCACTCTTTGAAAGGACTGAGAGGTGAGGCCTTGTTGGAGAAAGTATGCAGTCCCCAAGTGTTGACACACTCCTGTTTGACCCCAGCTGGGTCAGACCCTTGTCTTCTGCACAGTCACTGGACGGTCTGATCCCTACTTCCCTGGAAATCACTGTTAGAGACCAGGCATACAGCTCAGTGCCAGAGTCCTGCCTAGCCTTGGATTTGAACCAACACTAAAAACAGGAGAGGAGGGAAGGGATAACAACAAGACCAGCCTGACTTCGCTGTGTTAGCTGTCAGTCAAGCCGGCTCAGGGCCACTGTGAGGACCTCGGGAGCTAGTGTGTAGAGAACTTTCTGCCAAAAGTCCTCCTCTTCCTCCCTACCATGGCCACATCAGCCCTTCCCTGTCAGGGACTGGCTTCCTCACTAGACAGTACCTAGCCTATCCCCTGCCTCCTGCAGCACCCGACCCAGGGCTCAGAGTAGCTGTGTGTGTGTGTATGTTCGCATGTGTGGCTTGTGTGTGTGTGTGTGCATGCATGGTGTATGTGTGTGTACATGCATGGTGTATGGGGGGTGTGGTGTGCGCTCATTTGCTGAATAAAGAAACGAGTGAGGTTCTGACAACACAGGGCAGATGAGAGCTAAGACACGGAGTGCAGGCCACAGCCCCAGGACCCATCTCACCTCAGGATGATGAAGACACAGAGGAGCAACCCAAACACCAGGCTTCCTCCAGCCACCAGGAATGTGGGCAGCGATATTGAGGAAGAATCTTGCCCTGAGGCTGTGGGGAGTGGGGTAGAGAAAAGGGAAGGAGGGAGGTAAGGAGAGAAGGGAGGAGAGAAAATAAAGTCAGTCAGCGAGTACATAAACAGATGCTGCTCTGGAAGGCAGCAAAACTGCCAGCTTGCGGGCCAAGGCCAGGCTCCTGAAGCCCTGCGCAAGTGCCTAGCGTAATAACCACTCACAGGCTGAGACGGGGCTGATTCCCAGCCGGCAGCCAACTCTCTGGCCATTTTCTCAGAGTAACTTTCCTGTGTCCTTTATCAGGCAGAGGGCACTCGAGAGATATGGCTCTGAGGACCCCATGGTGGCAGATCCACTGGGGCTGGGTGAGCGAGGCGCAAGGACTTCCAACAAGTACCTTGGAGCCACTTCTCCACTGGGGTGTCATCGCTTCCCTATCCCCAGCATGGCATTCAAGCTCCAGACGTGCCATGTCCCTTCTCCTACAGGGCTCCCTGACCTCCCTTCCTGCCCAGAATGTTCTGTCTCCCTTTGCCGAGCCCCTTTGCTGCCCACACTCTTGGCTGGGCCAGCAGCTCCGTAAGCAGGCTTCCTCTGCGGATCCTCCATTGCAGTCTCTAGCAATGACCTCCATGCTCAGCCAGACTGTAGTTGGCTTCCTGACCTGGCCACTCTTTTCACAGGCCTCACTGCTTCTTAGCAGACAAACTCAAACGAGCATACAAGTAATGAAAGTGAGCTGTGCTGTAGCTCACTGGCTATGCTGCTCTGCGTATGTAGCTCAAGGCCCTGGGTTCAGCCCTAAATGCTGCATCAAGTAAAACAATGGAAGGCTGTTGCTGCCTTTGCTCAGTGTCCGAGCACGCTCTTCTGCAGGCTGGAGGAATACCGAGACACTAGCGCTTACCCGGGAAGCTTGTCGCTTTTACAGGCTGGTTGTACAAATACTCCTCTTCGTCATAGTCTTCATCAGAGACCTAGGAGACATGAAATGACCATCACCAGCTGTTCAACATCCATACACACTTCTGCAAAGCCACCGCCTGTCTCCTGAGCCTCTCCGAGCCGATCTTTGTCAACCATCTACCTGTCGCTGGCACTGTTCGCGTGCTCCCTTCCCCTTCCCAGGTGCCCATCGCTCTGCCAAAGGCACAGAGAACGTGGTCAGTAAACAAAGCAGTTGTCCACGCTTCTGTTTGCCAGGTGCAGTGGTAGCCTCCTGGGAAAAGCTCGTTCCAGCATCCCAACTCCACTGCTCGCTAGCTAGCTACACGATGGGCCGATCTCTGAGTTCAGATATGCTTAAGTTCTGCTTCTGGATCCAATTTTGAGACTTTACCCACACAGTGGAGAAGGTGGCCAGTCCTCGGCTACTGTCAGTTCCCTAGGACCCGCCTGGAACTCTCTGGCCCGAGAGGCAAGAACTCAGCTGCTTTGCCTGTAAAGCCCCTCAAGGACAGCCCCCTGAAGACTGAAGCCAGCATGTGAGGCCCAGACCTCTGCCTCCTTCTCTGTGCTTGGGGGGCAGAGGAACAAAGGCCCCAGCTCAGTACTGAGGGAATTAAGGACCACACGAGGAGACAGAGTTGGGTGGGAAATTGGATTAGTAAAGGGATTTGTTAAGCAGCTTCAGACGTAATCCTCTTTCCAATACTTCATGATACCAGGCTGCCACAGGGGAGGCCTTGGATAAATTGAATCTGGTCTCAGACCAAGCCATCAGCAGTGTCCAAACAGCTCAGGGTGAAACAGTAGCAACCAGAGCCAGGCAGATGGCGTCTTACAGCTTCCAGGGACAGGGAACTGGCCCACAGTCACACTCTAGAAGATGCAGCCCGCAGGAAACCAGATTCCGGCCTGGAGCAGTGCAGTCCTGGCCCTGCGGGGCGGGGGTGGGGGCAAGCTTACCTGTGTGGGGTCCTCCAGGATCCCTGTGGGAGTGCTCGGGGGCTCTGCAAATAGAAAGAAGGAGTGTGTTAGGGATGACTCATGGACCGGAGAATCCAGTCAGCTCAGGACAGAGCAGTACAAAGAGCCCATCTGAACCCTAACACTCGGAGGAAGAAGCGTCTCAAGTTCAAGGCTGGTACTAGGAGACCCTGTCTGAAAAAGAAGAAAAAGAAAGGAAGGAAGGAAGGAAGGAAGGAAGGAAGGAAGGAAGGAAGGAAGAAAGGAAGAAAGAAAGAAAGAAAGAAAGAAAAAATCAATAGAATCTTTTTTTGTTGTTGATGGTTGGTTGGTTGGTTTTGAGTTTTTCAAGGCAAGGTTCTCTGTATAGCCTCAGCTGTCCTGGAACTTGCCCTGTAGACCAAGCTAGCCTCGAATTCACAGAGATCCACCTGCCTCTGCCTCTCTAGTACTGGAATCAAAGGTGTGTGCCACCACCGCTGGGAAACAATGTTATCTTTAAAAAGCAGGATGCTGGGAATAAGGAATTATCCAACACTAGAGGACTAGCTATGTCTATCCTGACAGTCATTTAAGAGAGTAGCCTGGAGAAAAATCGATTTTATGATACACAATGTAACTGTGTATCAAAGCATTACACATACCCACAATGTGTCTGAGTACTCTGTATCTACTAAAAACAAAACTTCAGGGTACATGCCTTAAGCCCAAACCTTGGAAAATCAAAGCCAGACTGATCTACACAAAGCATCCCAGGCCAACCAGGACTTAAAAACAAAAAACTAAAACTTAAAGCGGGCTGGAGAGGCAGCACTGAGGCTGAGAGCAACAGCTGCTCCTCCAGGGGACCCGGGTTTGATCCCAGCACCCACGTCAGCTCCAACCCGCCTGCAGCTCTGGCTTCTGTGGGCACCGCAGACGTGTGGTGGACAGCTGCAGGTGCAGGCAGAACACCCCCAGACATAAAACAGAAACGAAAAAGTTAAAATGAGAAGAGGTGGAATAAATATTTAAAAATAAAACTTCAGAATGTATATTTTAGAGAAATGTTGAAGATACAATGTATTGTGTAGAAGGAAGACATGCTTTGATCCAAAGTTTCTAAAACTCGTGTTTATATTATCATATTACATATTACATATTACAATATACACGCAGGGAGGGCAGGCCAGAAGGAGGATATCACAAGATATAAGCACTATTAACGATAATTCCTTAAGGATCATGCCTGGGACGGGTGGAGGGCACCCTGATAAAGAGGGGTGGGGACAGGGTGGCAGAGTTCATGCTCTCCTGGGAACTGCTTTATACAGAAATGGCTGACCCAGGAGCAAGCCCAGAATCGAAGCTGATCTGGGACCCAAGGGACCTGGCTCTGACCCTCGGCAGGCAAACGGTGAAATGACTCAGATTTTCTTGTCGTCTCATTTTTCCACCAAGAAGTTAAAAATATCACCAAGTATAAGACATCAAGCACCCCAAACCCAGGAATAGACCAACAAATCTCTAAGGGGTGGAGGACAGGGCGAGCCTGTTTCTGCTCGGGAGAGAAATTTCAATGGCTATGCCGTCTCCAAGGAGAGAAAACCACACAGCAATGCTGGAGGTGTTGAAAAAGAACCCATCGGACAATGAGGACTACTGAGACATCAAGAACAATGGCAATGGGTTTTTGATCCTATTGCATGTATTGGCTTTGTGGGAGCCTAGGCTGTTTGGATGCTCACCTTACTAGACCTGGACGGAGGAGGGTTTTCCTTGGACTTCCCACGGGACAGAGAGCCCTGATTGCTCTTTGGGCTGACGAGGGAGGGGGACTTGATTGGGGGAGGGGGAGGGAAAGGGGAGGCGGAGGTGGGGAAGAGACAGAAATATTTAATAAATAAATAGATAAAAATAAAAAAAGAAAAAGAAAAAAAGAAAAAGAACCCATCACCGGCTTCATTGTATAAAAAGGAAATGGGCCCAGAGAGGGAAAGCAATGTGTCTAAGTTCACACAGCAAGCTAACTCAAAAACGAACCTCAAACTGTGGCAAGGACCCAGTATCTCCTACCTGTGTGCACCTCCCAGCTGGGTGGTGGTGGGGCACACCTATAATCTCATCGAATCCCACCAGAGACTGTACATGTGTGCGTGGATGGCCTGGCTTTGTGAGACAGGGTATCTCTGTTGCCCATGATGGCTTGGAATTTATATTAGACAACAGGCTGACCTCTGACCCTGAATTAATGTTTTAGCATGCTGGGATTGTAGGTATGAACCACCACACCATTTCCTCTGGTGTTTGTTGTTGTTGTTGTTGTTTGGTTTTGAAACAAAATCTCACATTTTGGTTCAACTGTCCTGGAACCCACAATATAACTCAGGCCAACTGCAAGCTTGGACTGCTCCTCCTGCTCCGCCTCTGGGATTGCAGAGAAGGACACCATGCCTGTGTTTTGTCATTGTTTGTATCTTTGAGACAGAGTCTCATTCTGAAACCGAGGCTGGCCTGGAACTTAGAGCAATCCTCCTGTTTCAGCCTCTCGGGTGCTTAATTATAGATGTGGTCATCACACCTGGCAGGGGATTTAAAGATGGGGTGGGCTGGAGAGACGGCTCAGCAGTTAAGAGCCCTTGCTGTCCTTGCAGAGAACCTGGGTTCAGTTCCCAGTACCTACAGAGCAGTCTCAAATCAGCTGTAAATCTAGTTCCAGGGAATCCAGTGTGTTTTTCTGACCCCCTTGGGCACCAGGTACCCATATGGTGCACATACATACATGCAGGAAAAACACTCATACACATAAAATAAAACTTAAAAAATAGTATGGAGTGTGCCAGCAAGACCTCTCAGCAAAAGCGCTAGTAATACAAGCCAGAAGACCTGAGTTCCATCTACAGAGCTGGGGAGGGTGGAGGGGGAGAAATTCCTGGAAGCTGTCCTCTGACCTCTACATGTGTGCCGTGGCAAACATGCCTGCTCTCACATACACATCCTAGACTGGAGGGAAAAACATTTTTTTAAAAAATTTAGGATGGGGAAACTGAGGCAAGAAAAAGGAAAATAACTTTCTCAAAGTTAGTAGAAAGTGGCAAAGCTGTAATTATTGTATGTGTTCCTGTGTGTGTGTGCCCGTGTGTGTGTGCCCATGCAAGTGTGTGAAGGCCAGAAGACATCAAGCATCCTGTTTTCTCACCTCCTACTCCCTCCCTTCCCTGCTCTGCCACTGTCTGCTTCCCTGGAGACAGCGTCCCTCACTGAAACTGGAGCTAGACTGACAGCCAGCAGCCCCAACAGTCCCCTTGTCTCTCCCAGCAAGCATCCCCTCAGCTCCCAAAGAGGCATTTAAACCAAGGCTGTTTGGCTCCAATAACGAACATTTTTTAAAGGTTTTAAATGCCCACTTTGGATCTCGAGATGTAACTCAGATTGGCCCTCAGCACTGCTTGGGGTGGCCCTGGCTGGGGACGCTCCTGTAATCCTAGCACTGGGGAGGTTGGGGGCATGAGAAGAGAGGAAGATGCCGGGCAGTGGTGGCGAGCACCTTTAATCCCCGCACAGTGGTGGCAGAGGCAGGTGGATCTCTGTGAGTTCGAGGCCAGACTGGTCTACAAGAGCTAGTACCAGGACAGGCTTCAAAGCTGCAGAGAAACCCTGTCTCGAAAAAACAAAAAACAGAAGTGAAAAAGATGTCTTGGAGCGCTGGGTGAAAGCCAGCGCCCAGCCAGCCCTTACTGCCACTTTCCATATCACTGGAGCCTCGAGGCGCTGGGAGGCAGGTGCTCGGTTTGGGTCTGATCGCTGGCTCTGTCCCTTGCTAGTACAACTTTGGGGAAGTACCTAGCTCAGCCCCAGTTAGCTTATTTGTCACTTAGGAGTACTGACACCTGCCTAAGAAACCCAAACCAAGCACCTGCCTCCCAGCGCCTCGAGGCTCCAGTGACGTGGAAATTGGCAGTGAGAGCTGGCTGTGTGCTGGCTTTCACCCAGGGCTTCAAGATATCTTCCTCACTTCTCATGCCGCCAACCTCCCCAGTAGGATTACAGGAGCGTCCCCAGCCAGTACCCACCCCAGCAGTGCTGGACCAATCTGAGTTACATCTCGAGATCCAAAGTGGGCTTTTAGAACCTTTACAAATGGGGGCGGTGTGATTTAGACTCCCCTTCTCCATTTTCCTTGGTCAATTTTTGTTTCCTAATGCAGGGAAACTGAAGCAGTGGGCTTATAACCTAAGAAGCACCCCCACGTGTCCTTAAGTACAACCCTCTGGCCTGTGTGGTTTCCCTCTTGGGGACTGTGACAGGGAGCACCTAAGGCTTCAGTGCAGCTCAACCGCCAAGGAGCCTCTGCACCGCGGGCAGGCCTCACTTCCCGCATCAGCCTCTGTCTCATTTTACAGAACCAATTGGCGATTTCCAACCTAACCCCTCTGGCCTGAGAAGCACCCGAGCCCCTCCCGAGCCCCTCCGCTGTACCCCCAGAGCAGGATGGTAGAGGCTTCTCTCTTAGACATACTGCCAGGCCAGAGTGGCTCCCCACTCCCGCCCAGGACGGAGTGAGGAGGAGTGGGCTCTGAACAAGCTCACGGGGTCACCTGTGCTGGAGCCCAAAGCTGGAAAGTCCAAGACCCAGAGCTGGCCAGGTGGTCTCCACCCCCGACATATCACTGGACACCACCTTCACCAGGGATTCAAGGCTAAACAGGTGAGGAACCCACAAACCCTCCCAGTCAGCCATCGGCCCGTGAGTGGGAGCAGCCCAAGCAGATGCAGGTTTTCTAGGAACCCCAGGAGAGTTCAGAGAGCTGAGTGTACAGGGCGGCTTCCTGCGATTACTCCCAAGGGCAGAGTGAGGTCAACCAGGCCAGTGCTGGGCTCACTTCAGAAAGGCCTTTCTGCCTGAACAGACATTTCTCTAAAAGCGATAATAGTGGGGTGTTGTGGTACCTGCTTGTAGCCTCCGTCTCAACAAAATAAATCAGAAATGGCAACGACTAGAGAAAAATGGGCACTAGGTACCTGTAGTACTAAGCCCTGGCTACAAGAGAGGCTGAGACAAGAAGACAGAGGCCAGACTAGCAAATGCACACACACACACACACACACACACACACACACACACACACACACGAGAGAGAGAGAGAGAGAGAGAGAGAGAGAGAGAGAGAGAGAGAGAGAGAGAGAGAGAGAGAGAGAGAGAGAGAGAGAGAGAGAGAGAGAGAGAGAGAGAGAGAGAGAGAGAGATTTGCATAGGCAGAACACTAGTGTCAATAAGCTGAAGGGAACATGGAAGGTTTTTAATCCCAGCACATGGGAGGCAGAGGTAGGTGGAGCTCTATGAGTTTGAGGCCAGCCTGGTCTACATCATGCATTCTAAGAGTCACACCCTGTCTCAAAGAGAGTGGGGGAACCGTTGTGAACTCTCAAGTAACCTAAAATGGAGCAGCCACTATGGAAAGCAGTGTGGCATTCCTTAAATGCTGCAAAGAGTCGCTGTGGACACAGTGAGGAATCCCACATCTGGGCACATACACAGAAGAACTAAACTCCAACAGTCAGCAGACTGTTCACGGCAGATAAATCACATACCACGCGTCCACTGTCAAATTCAGAGAAACAAGACGCTCGCTCCCCAGTCTACCAGGAAGGAAAGGCTGACCCAGGGCTTGAGCGGACTTTGAAGGCACAGCGCTGAGTGAGATAAGTCAGACACAAAAGGTTTCCTACAATCCCACTTACTTGAAGTGTTTAAAATAGTCAAATTCGGAAACAGAAAGTAGAATGCACATTGCTAGCAGCTAGGGAAGAGGGAGGGGAGTGGGAAGTGGGGTCTGTAGGTGGGTGGTGGAGACGGGTGGGCAGCCTTATGAATGTATTTAACACCGCTGAACAACAGGTAAGATCAGGGCTGGCCTTGCAAGCCCGAGAATCTGAGTTCAATCCCCCAAAACCCCTATTAGAGAAAACCAAAACAAGCCAGGCAGTGGTGGCGCACACCTTTAATCCCAGCACCCAGGAGGCAGAGGCAGGCGGATCTTTGTGAGTTCACAGCCAACCTGGTCGACAAGAGCCAGTTTCAGGACAAGCTCCAAAGCTACAGAGAAACCCTGTCTCAAAAAAAACAAAAAACAAAAACA